TGGTTATTAATTGCGAGTCTTAAATACTAAATTTTAAACAATTTCGTTTGTAAAATTGACTGGGATTATCAAAATACCGAATATCGGTGGGTACAGTTATATGTGCTGCATAGGAAAACATGGACCTATATACAAAGTTCCGCCATCGGAGTCAAAACCCATTAAGAACTATAAATACCAATTTTTAGACAAATCCGTGGAAAAATGTGGCAAAAATGATTAAAACATCCAATATCGGGAGGTACCATTATATGGCGGCCATACCAGAACGTGGACCGATATATTTTTCAATACCAACCATCCTATACACAATACCAATTCTTGTGTCAAATTTTAAAGCTCTACGTCAAATAATGTCGACGGATAGACTGACGTACTGTCGTTAAATCGACTTAGAATTTCATCCTGATCATGAATGTATATACTTTATGGGGTCTACGACGAATAGTTAGGGATGTTACAAACGGAATATATAATATACCCTCCTTTTCATGGTGGAGGGTATAATGAAGTTAATGATTGTGTTTATATCTCAAATTAATGTCGTGACTCAGAAAAACTAAGCATTAACACTACTGGCAGAACATTTTAACCTGAATTTTTTGTTGCGTTTACCCTTGTTTGCAAACATTTTCGTCCTCGTGTTTTCAGTCTTGCATTTTCTCCATATTTACAATTGATTCGCACACAATTTTATATTCATTTACGTCATTTGCATTCTTAATTACTTATAGACAGTTTACAAGTGTAAACTTAAAGTTGCGAGCGAAAGTTAAAACACGGACATATTTTAAGTACACTTTTCGCATGACTGGCCCTATTCTGGAAAATACGTTAAAGAATATTCACGTAATTGAGAATTAATGTGCAAAGCAACCTATTAAATATATTGAATGCCATTAACTTTTAATTACACGAACTTTTTATTCATAAACGAAGGGAAAATACATGGATGAACACGTCTCCATGAAAGGTTAACAATTATCTCACTGTGAAAACAAGGCAAAAAGATGGAGGGACGCTTTTCTCTCCATTTAACACTAGTTAGAGTCTTCTGAATACAATAAAGTGGGCGGTATGGCTACATAGGTTCTACATGAAAACACGAACCTACAAAGAACATTTTCTGCTAAAGGGAGGTTGATATTTATTATAAGGTTCGAATATCAATTTAAAAACAAGGGTGGAAAAAAGATAAAATCAGCAGAATACTGAGTACCTACAGGTAGCGTTGTATGGGGGTTGAAGAAAAACGTGAACCTCTTTATGCAATGTTCTTCCGCTGTAGGTAGAACCAATTAGGATTGGCTGTTAAATGTAGTTAATGTCGTCAAAATACCGAGTATCGGAAGGTAAACCATTTTTTGGGAGCCATACGAAATCGGGGAACGACTTACTTTATTTTCTCATTGATACGATGCAAACTGAAAAAATGCAAAGCTTTCACAAGACAGATGCAATTTCATGCTGATCACGAACATATGTACTTAAAAGGTTCTGATTCCACTTTATTTAAAGGAAAGTTTCAATTAAGAAAAAACAAAACAAATAAAAAAGCTGTAATTTCGGCCGGGCCGAACATTGAATCCATCATTTAGAAAGAATTTGGCAATTTTCAAAAAAAAAAAAAAAATAAATAAATAAATAAAATCTTTTAAAAACTCTGTTTAAATCTAAACCAGTAAAGAAAGTCTTAAAGTCGGTCGGGGCCGACTTTATGATACGCTACACCACTTTGCTAATTTAGTAGAGCTGCGCATAACAATTAAAAGTTTTTATGGGAGAATTCAATCATAGACAATATGATTATAATTATAATTTAAAGTTCAAAGGACTAAATAGGGTAAGTGTGCCTAAGTTCGGCATGTCCCAGTAGTCGGCACTTTTTATTTTTAAGCCCAAATAAATGAAACTATTATAACTAAATGTATTTTGTTTACTTCAAATATATTGTCTGCTATCTTTGTGTACAATTTCGCTAAGAAAAGATGATTTATTCTAATAAAAATTAATTTTTGTCCGTGAAGGTCCTCAACAATCCATATTCTTAAGAAAAGTACAATGAAGACGTCGAATCAGTTTAACTAAACAAAATATTATATTTTAATGAATTGATTTATTATTATTATTCACTATTCTTACAAAAAAATTGGTATGCCGACTATTGGAACATGCCATACCGACAATTAGCAAGTGGTGCCGACTACTGGCAAAAAAGCATTGTTTTAATAAAACTACAAATTTATTAAATTTAATAAAAATTTATTAAAACTTTATTTATTATTGCAAAAACTATAGAGAATTTCGAATCTGAATAAATTAACTTTGTAATAATTGAAAAGTTCCACTCAGAATGGTGAGCTATTAAAAACGCGAAAATCCTAAAAGTGCCGACTACTGGTACACTTACCCTATGCCGAAGCATTTGTATCTTTTAAATTCGGAATTGTATTACCCATTTGGTGCACAATTAATTTGAAATCGGATAAAGATGGGAGCTATATCCAAATCTGAACCGATCTCGATAAAATTTGGCAAAGATATTTCTGAGCTGTATTTGATATATTTCCCTGGATATCGTTGTTACGTAGTGCATATTACGGCGGCGGCGGACAAAAATAACAAATCGGATGAACAATATATATGGGAGCTACACAATAAAAGGCAAATCGGACGAAGATATATATGGGAGCTATATCTAAATTTTGACCGATTATCTCCAATTTCAATAGGGTTCTTCCTTGGGCCAAACAAAAGATCTTTGCAAAATTTCATCTGGATCGGGCAATAAATGCGACCTGTACTTTGTTTACAAGAATACATGGACAGACGGACGGACGGACATGCATAAATCGACTCAGAATGTGATTCTATGCATATCATCAAAAGGAACTACGGGTCTATCTCGTCTCCTTCTGCCTGTTACAAACAAATGCACAAAGACATAATACCCTGACCACCTTGTGGTGTAGGGTATAAAAATGCCAAATGTAGCCGTCATATTAGGGGATAAACGACGACGGGAGGTACCGTTATGTGGGGGCTATACCAAAACGTGGACTTACATGGGCAATTTTCAATACCAAAAATCCCGCAGACATAACATACATTTGAGTAAAATTTTATCAATCTACTTAATTTCGTTTGGAAGCTAGAGTGACTTCCACAGACTTATCATTCTTCCTCCCCTCCACCTTGGAAAGGAGGGTATATTAACTTTGTCATTCCGTTTGTAGCTCAATATTCATAATAGACAGTATACATGTTCCGGATCAGCGTAAAACTCTAAGACGATCTATCAATGTCCGTCTGTCTTTCTGTTGTAATCACGTTATTTTTCGAACGAATTGAGATAGAAGGCTAAAATTTTGAATACATGCATAGTTTACAAAAAGCAGGTTAAGTTCGTAAATGGGCCATGTCGGTCCACTTTTTCGTATAACCCCCATATAACGGTACCTCCCTATATTCGATATTTTCATGATTTTAGCGACATTACACGCAGAGAAAAAAATATGGTTCAGCCAACAATATTCGAAGAGCAAAATATATATGGTAAATATATGGTTGGATTCTATTATGTAATATTGTCGCTGCAAACATGTTTTTGGTTAGGCTGTGTAAACTGTATACATATAAATGTTTGCCCCAACCAGTTTCATGGTTGTCCCAATCATTTGATTGGTAAGATTTTATAAAACGTTCTTTTAGCCTGAAAATATATATTTTAAAAAGGTACAATATATATGTTTTCTGTAACGATTTACATGTTTGTCCCAATCATTTGATTGGTAAGATTTGATCAAATGTTTTCTTGGCCTGAAAATATATATTTTTAAAAAGTTACAATATATATGTTTTCGGCAACCATTTACATGTTTGTCCCCATCATTTGATTGATAAGATTTTACTAAACTTTTTTTTGGTCTGAAAATATATATTTTAAGAAGTTACAATATATATGTTTTCCCCAACCATTTACTTGTTTGTCCCAGTAATTTGATTGGTAAGACTTTACCAAACTTTTTTTTGGCCTGAAAATATATATTTTTAAAAAGTTACAATATATATGTTTTCCCCAACCATTTACTTGTTTGTCCCAATAATTTGATTGGTAAGACTTTACCAAACTTTTTTTGGCCTGAAAATATATATTTTTAAAAAGTTACAATATATATGTTTGCCCCAACCATTTACTTGTTTGCCCCAATAATTTGATTGGTAAGATTTTACCAAACTTTTTTTGGCCTTAAAATATATATTTTAAAAAGTTACAATATATATGTTTGCCCCAACCATTTCTTATACTCTACCTTTTTAATATTATGTATATTATTAAAAACATCTTGGATAGTGTTTTATAAATCAAATTTTATTTAATTTTACAGGTAATAATATAAATTAACATATTAAATCTAACATATAGTATACAATTATTAATATTGCGAAAATGGCAATTTTGCAATCTATTGCAAAAAAAATGTGGATGATTATGTATAGCATATTCTTATATTCATACATACCTTCGTCCTCAGTTCTGTCGATATTCGCTAAAATTTGTAAAACGCTATTCTCTTTTGATTGTTCGGCTTTCAATATTAGTTTTCCATAGAATTGTTTCCATTGGTAAATGCTTTTGGAATTTGGGTACAGTATTTTGAAATCGATTTGAAGCTAGGCGAGAAGTATATGAACAATATTAATCGAAATTTACATAATATTAATAATTCAAAGACTTACCAATTCATGAAAGTTCTCATTAAGATGAATGTTGTATTTTTGTATATAGTCAATAGTACTTAACTCGTTGTTTTGTAATTCGTTTTGTCGATAGGAATGAGATTTAATCCAAAGTTCTCTTGTTTTGTTCCAATCTACATTCGTTGTTTCAAGAATTTTCAATTCATCTGCTGATATGCCAGTTTCGTGATCTTCCGACAATTGCGTATAATTTGCTAAAAGAACGTATTGTTTTTCAAAACATATAAATATTCTTATATTTAAGCATACTCACATTTCTTTTTCACGTTTTCACGTCTATTTATCAGTCCTGCTGCACTTAATTGTGTTCTCTTATTATTGTATGCGTCAAACAATTTACCCTTTGCCAAATGACCTTTTGTAAAGGGTACGTAATAAGTTTCTCTAACTTCCGATGGAAATACTTCTATTATTGATCGGGAAAGTTGTAACAAATCATCTTTATATAAACTGCAAATTGAAAAAGAATCTCTGAATATAAACAAATTGTTAAGTGTTTAGGATTTACATACCGTCTATTCACATTTTGGCTCAGGATATTTGACACTATACTCTTTGCTATAATTGTTCTATCCTTATTTTGCAGACTATTACATTGCAATAATTGCTTAATTTCAGGATATTCTTTTATTTCCTTCGGGAATAAAAAGGGGTTAATAATGACTGAAAAGATTTTAAATTAAGAAACATTTTTACATACCTCCGTTGATGGAACAGAAGGATAAGCATTTTTGTCAATAAAAATATTCCCCTGGCTTTGGTTAAAAATATCATCGGTTATACATGTTAAAGTTCTAATAACCTGAGGCTGTGTACTTCCAAATATTATATTTTGTGAACTGGAAGCCTGTGATTCCAATTCATCATTCGAGTCTGAGGTGGAATAAGAAGAATTATCATCTACAACGAAAATTAGTTTAGAAATTACACATTATATTTACATACATATACAGTGGTGGTCACCTAATTAGAACATGAACTGTGGTGAACATTCTTTGAAGTATTTTTTAAAATAATATAATTCTGAACACTTAGATATACTGCACTTAAGAGGTTTAGTGTGAAAATAGAAAATTATTTTATTCAATTTTTAATAAATAAAAGTTTTTATAAAATAACGTGGAAATATTTACGTTACTGCTTTTTTTGAAAATAGTTTACAGATGAAAAAAAAATTAGTATATCTAAGAGCTCAGAATTATTATTTTTTTTAAACACTTCAAAAAATGCTTACCACAGTTCATGTTCTAATTACGTGACCACAACTTTAAATATATTTAATTTGTGGATACTCACTTATTAAATTTACGTCCAATATAAAATCCGTTGACGATAGATACTGTTCCACCAAATCGGTGAATATGTTTGGTTTTATTAAAAATTTCTTGTTAAAAATTTGAACTTCTTCAGTTGATGGAATATTATAGGTTTCCTTTACTATAATAAATAAAGATGGTTAAATATTTTATTAAAAATTATTTAATAATAAAATAATATGTCAATTTTAAAAATCACATCAATGTCCACGAACCTTCAATGTTCCCAATATTCACGTTCAATTTTGCACTAAAAAAATTTTCCCCAAAACGATAATCTCTTTACTTCTCTCTATGCTTTGTTTGTTTTGTGTGTTCAACCACCCAACCTTTTCATGATGAGATGATTCACACAAAACAAACAAACAAAAACATGAAATGTGTTAAAGCGTATGACTGAACATTTTTCTGTTCTTTTTTTTGAGTATTGCACTTTTATATGAGATGTATAAAACAAATAATTAACATAATTCTTTAAATTGTTTATAGAGTTTTTCACTTAATATTTTTTATTAGTCACTGCATGATTAATTAGAACTTTCACAATATTAACACTTTTTATACATCTTTTACCTTTATTTATAAACAAATCGTAGTCATTAATTCCATCAAAAACCACTGAAACTATTTCTTTTTGTTTTGGAATGTTGTTTTCAACAATTTACGTGAATTCATTTTTTTCTTTTTTTGTGATCCGTCTTCTCTGAATGCCAAACAAAAACTAGCGAGAGGCAGTGAATGCAGAAGCTAATGCAAATGCTCCGAAATATAACGGGATCACAACACTCAACACAAAATATTGCAAACTTTAACAATACATATTTTCAATCCAAAACAAGATATTGTAATTTTTTAAAATACATATTTTAAAATTGGACAATATATATTCTTAGTTTGAAAATATATATTGTTAAATTTGAAAATATGTATTGTTAAATTTGAAAATATGTATTGTTAAAATTGAAAATATATATTGTTAAAATTGAAAATATGTATTTTCGAACTAAACAAATATATATTAAAAAGTGCACATGTTTTGAATTTTCTGAAAACACGTGTTTTATATATTTTCAATGTTGTACTTTTCCTTGAAGCTAATTGTATTACAGTGACTTAGTTACATATATGTACTTTTAATTATTTTTTTCCATTAAATAGAACTTTTACTTTTCTTTTTCAGAAAAAGTCACATTCAAAATAGTTGTAAGCGAACGCGAAATAAACTCACTTTATTTTTATTGTATTTATAGAGAGCATGTGTCATTATTTTATGACTCTTTAATATTTATTGTATTAAGTAAAACTTTTAAATGTTCACTTTTATATCACTCTTAAATTTACGCACGTAGTACTTCTTCGAACTCTCCAATCAAACTAACATGTTTTGACACGCTCAGCTCTCAAGCGCATACAATTTACAATATTATTTTAAAATTCTACAAAATGTATTGTAAATTTATTAGCTACATGATTGTGAAGACTATTGGTATTGTAAATTATTTTTATCATATTACAAAAATTCGATTTAAATTTTGGAAATTATGGTTGCAGGGAACATAGTATTTTCAAATATGCAATTCACATGTTTGCTACAAACATATAAAAGTTGTGGCAACAATAGTTATGGTTTCTGCAACCATAGTGAAAAATATTTTTTCTCTGCGTGTATTTACCGGAATTATTTCAAACTACGTATTTGAAGTTCGAAATGGCTACTACAGCCTATGACAAAAATGTTTGTATGCAGGTCCACGTCTTCGTGTAGCCCCCATATAACGGTACCTCCCGATAGTCGGTATTTTGATGATTTCGGCAATATTATTCACCGGAATAGTTTCAAATTTCGTATTGGAAACATTTTTTATGCAGGTCCACATCTTCGTATAGCCTCCATATAACGGTACCTCCCATACATACGTATGGTCCCCATATAACGGTTTTCAATTAAATAGTAGTTTTCGGTTTTTTTTTTTTGAAAATTTCAAGTTTCCTCCAAATGGTGGAGAGTATTAAAAGTTCGGCCCACCCGAACTTAGCTTCTTTTTTACTTGTTCCTATCTTATCATTATAATATGATATATTTTTATATATTCTACGATTCTTCAAGTTTAGAAAAATATAAGAAATTATTGAATAGCTTTGAACCGTGAACTTTAAACACAAATTTGTTGCTCGCATGACCAATTTTCAAATTCATCGGAAATAGTAGTTAAATGAAAACTGCGAATCGCCTTGCAGTTACGGAGAGTTTCCGTAACTTTTGAGATAAAAGAATTTCCCAGGAAAAAAGAACATTTAAAAGACTTTTCCATTGCACAGAATTGTATTTGTCCATTCACTCATCAACCATTATCCTTTAAAAAAGTCAAGGTGTTCTCGTTAAAAAAGAATGATTCACAAAAAATGACGGGGGTAAATTTGGGTTCATGCACCCAAAAAGTGTGTCAGACACACACCATGGTTAGCAGCATCCAAAGAAATCAATGTTTTTTTTTTTCATTGTTCCCGTAAAAACACACACAAAAAAGGCGTACATAATCGTTAATTAGTCCCCAATATATTACAAACATTCTTTCATGTCACGAAAAATGTTACAAAAATCAAAAAAACTACAAAAAATCACTGATAATTCATTCAAATCAAGTGAAAAAATTTTAATGAACCACCCCAGAGTAAACATTATCACTCAGCAATGATCAACAATAACAGAAAAAAATGTCATCATAATCGACCCACCCTAACGATGAGGCTCACACTAATAGGCTGTGGGTCGTTTTACTGGTCCTAAAATTAGGGAACTCATTTTTTAGGTTTTTGTATACTTATTTTGCATTTTTCGTAACATTCGTTTTGAGTAGATACCAGGTATTAAAGATTCCTTGTGTGTTTTTGCATTTGGTTGCCCTTGGGCGTGTTTGTGTAGTTTAAATATTTCAATATAGAAACTTTAAGTGATTTTTTTATTTGCAAGACAAATATTCATTACAACGTTGCTTCACCCCACCTTGGAGCGCAGAGAACAATTCTGGTTGACATAATTTTGGTTTTCAAGTGGATTTTCACGTTTTTTTCCTGAAGAAACAACAAAAGTTAAATACGACAGTCACTGGAAATGGTGGTGGCTGGAAATGGCGGCATGTCAACAGTCACAGCGAAAGTGTGACTGTTGACATGTCCGAAAGCGACTATAGTTGGTGGTGGAAACGGGATCTCCCAGTGCAATAATTTATTAATGTCTGCCGTTTTGATTCGGTTCCACTTCAGTGTGTTTGTTTAATAAACTTTGAGATTAGAAATATTTATTCTTTGAAAATCATTTTTAATTTACATCAAGTAAGCAAAGGCTATAGTCATGCGGGGCCGACCATGTGATACCCTACTGCACTACAATATGTTGGAAGCCTCCATATGTCCAAATCCATTTTGGAAGATTTCGCTTTTGAAATTATGTCACGGAGTACTGCCCAGATGTTACCCTTAGCATTTTGACCAGGGACATTTGCCCAATATTTACGCACTCCATCGTGTTGTTAATTGTTGTGGTCCATTTTACAGCTAAATATAATCCAATGGTCATCCAAAATGCTAGAATTATTCCCGGTCCTTAACTCACATCTCAGGCGTGTCGATTTGATACAATTGTGTGATCAGGACATTTTTTCTGTTTTTGGTTCATTTGAACCCCTAAATATTTTGCGATTATCTCCAAAAGCAAGAGTATCTGCAAAGTTCGCCTTTTATGTATTTCGGATATCGCCTGTAAGTAATGTAGGTATTTTCCCACACAAAAGTAGTGGTCCATTTTACCCGCTGTCCCAAATTCTAACATCATGCGAGATTTCGTGTCCTTTGGTTTCTATTTGTGACCGTTATAACGGCTGCAAAATCAGGAAAATTTTTAGTTGTTGGTCCATTTCAACCCCTAAATATATTGCGGACATCTTTGAAAATAAAAGGGGTAGCACTTTTGAGTCTAACCCTACCCTTGTGGAAATTTTCGTGAGGATCGGAAGATAATTGCAATCTATAATAATAACGCCAACCTGTGGTGTAATGTGAAAAAATATTACAAAATATACACTTCAATATTATAAGTCAAATTGAAAAAATCGTATGCGATAAAAAATATGAAAAAATAAAAAAATGACACAAAATACTACAAAATCTATATTAATATCATTTTTGGCATCTTTTTATGCGATTTTTTTATGCCAAGAGGACATTCTGAATTGACAAAATTTGTCAAAATCGGTCCCGCCATTCTTGAGATATTAACATTCTAGCTAACATCGCCTTCCATTGCGTAGATACATTGTATATATTTCGCTATATATATCCTATATATTTACTATTGGTATCTACGTAACGGTGAAAATTGACCTGTTCTTCTATTTATGATTTCGCCGGGATTAAAAATATTCGCGGTTTATTGAAAAAATTTACTTTTATTTAACACAAATGTTATGGTCTATTTCACCCACTAAATATTGCCCGATGACTATCAAAATTGGAAGGCTTCTGCCCAGCCCAGAGCTCTAGCCCCCGCTAACTTCCGCTTCGATTGGTCTATAATTGCGACCTGTAGAGCAACTGCAAATTAGGAATTTTTTCAGTTTTTGGTCCATTTCAATTATGCGATCATCTCTAAAAGCAATAAGCAATGGCTACCCCCATTCTTAATTTCGTGAAGATCGGGACATAATTGCGACCTGTAGAGTGATTACAAATTAACATGGACAGACAGGCGGACGGACATACATAGCTAGATCGACTCAGCTCGGCGAGATAGGAAGATCCATATATACTTCCCTATGTGGGAAACCAATATTTCGAGGTGTTATATAATTTTTGGCCCAATCAAACTTATAACATAGTACTGTAGGCTATAAATATTATAAAGGACATATTTTTCATTTCATATTTTCATAGAACAAGAACCCAGCCCCAGATCTCTGGTTGGGAAAAATATGAGAAACATAAATGTTAAAAATTGTAACCTTTCGTGAGACATGTACTAGAAGGCGTTAGGCGATTTTTATTAATTATTCGTAAAAATATTGAGAGATGTAAAATTTGAAGAGCAACTGAGGGTTATTTCGCATTTTATGAGCGTTTTGCTAT